ATAGACACAGAGCCCAAGACAGTTTCAGGAGATCTGTATAGAAATCTCTCTGCCCTGCAGAGACTTCTGAACATCCTGTAATGGACCCTGATGATCCAGACTCTCCACAAACTCTGACACCAGCAGAAAAGTTTAAAAGCTCCCCGATGAGCCTCCTGCCACAACTTTCCACTGGTGTGACTCACAGTCATGGTTTCCACTAAAAGCCTTTACTTTAAAAAAAAATAAAAAAAGACAGCACGTTACAGGGAAACTGGCAGGAGTAAGCAGACAGACGATCATAAAGTGCTGCCAGTGTGCCACATTCTTTATTCCACAGAGGATAAAAAGAAACCAGAAACTTTAAAATACAAATGATTAAATGACACTAACAAGGCATTCAACACCTTCTCAACTCAGCTGAGTTACTGTACACATTTGGCTCTATTATACTACACAGCAGATGCAGCTGCCTCTATTTTGCCACACTGTTTGTCAGCTGGCTTAACTCACCGGACCATAACACACTCAGCACTCAAATGTCAGCAGAACAGACACAATGTAAGATAAGCTAAGAGCTAGTGAAAGAGCTAATCACATGGTATGGTTAATTTTGTTGCTGAGTCAAGGGTTAAGATATAAAAAGGCTATATTCTGCCTTTGTGAAATTTTATTGTGTGTGTGTGTGTGTGTGTGTGTGTGTGTGTGTGTGTACTCTTTCCACATCAGCTGGGAACTCAATAAACATTCCCGCCTAACAAGCAGCTGTTGTGCAGACATTTCTTGTTTACTAAAAACACAACTCGTGACAGACGGTGGAATGTGAAACAGAAGACATCTGCAGATCTCAGCCGAGAAATGATCCATTTATGCTAAATTTGGTTTTGGTTTTGAATTAGGACTGAGAGAGATTTATTGCTTGTTGTGTCTGAGTTGTCACTGTAACTATATCACTACTTAGACTTGAGACAGTGTACACACACACATACACACACACAGACATGTATCAGCTCTCTTCAGACACATGTGAAGAGGCTGTGTTTGCCCTTCTAGTTTGGTACTGTGGTTAGTTTGAGTCAGACGCAGCCAGATGCTGAGGCACCCTGGAGCCACAGATGAGAGGGGAAAAAGTATCAACAGTGCAACGTGGCAATGAACAGCTGACTGGTTTCATCATCCAGGCTCAGTCCCTTCAAAAGGCTGCTTGTGCATTTAACCCCTTGAGCCATGCATGCTGGATTGCAGCGAATCATCTAGTTATACTGCACATCACACTTCCATGACAGGACCATTGCTGAATAGAAAATCCCATTAGGGAGTCAGTGAAATTGTAAACTCTTATACAACTTTTAAAAGCTAAAGGATAAGTTGAATAATCAATCAGCCAATGGACTCAAATTTCAATGGGTGTTTAGTCATTTTAGTCAATTTAGAGCTGCTCTCAGCCTCTCAAATGTGACAATTAACTGCTTTTCTTTGTCATATATGACAGTATGTAACATGCATTGTAGTTTTGGTCTATTGGCGGGACAAAAGAAACAATTTAAAGATGCCAACTTGGCCTCTGGGAAATTGTAATGTGATTTGTTGAGGGTTTATAGCCCTGCTCTCATAACTCCAAGACCTTAATACAGGATTGTTGCTGGGTACACTACATAAACAATCATAACTCATTAAATACTCACTGAAATGAGTTTTAAATATGTAATATCAATCCCTGTCTGCGACCTTTAAAACTCTAGTCAGGTCAAACAAAGCATATCTCACCACCTGTTACATCTTATCAGGAAACAAAGTACATGGGTTTTTGTGGTTATGTCACGAGGTCAAGTGTAAATACAGATACAGTGCTGTGTGGTTAGACTAGCGGGGGGGGGGGTCTCACCTGCTTGGGGTCATCGTAAAAGACCCCGACGGTGCTCAGCTTTGGCCCAATGCTGCAGCTCTCTGTGTAGGCTGCACCGCAGTCCTTGTATGATCCCTCTTTGAACTTATAAGCAATGGTAATGTTCCTCACAGGAGGTGGCCCAGTCTTGATAACCACGTCACACAGTAGTCCCGAGTACAGCAGGAAGCCACCCACTGTCACAACCAAACACACCAGGAGCACGACCAACAGGAGCACCAGAATTAAATCAGACATGATGTCTTCTCAAAGCGGTACAGCTGCTGTCAATGCAATTAGCAAAAAATATATCTGTCAAGCCTTGAAAAAAGACGTCCCCCTTCGGGTTACACACACCGTGACTGAGGTCCAGCAGCTTCAAACGACAAAAAAACGTGGCTACTCAAGAGACGGTGATGAATTTGTGTTTCACGGTCGTAATAACCTGAAACGAAAGAGGAAACACTCGTTCAAGTTGACAGGAAAGACAGTTTGTTTATGGTATTTCCCCAAACACTGAACATGCTTCCCGGTTAGACCATTCTCGTCTACAGCGGGGGGTGACTAACTATATATATTTTTAAATGACTTATTTAAATAAATTAATCAAACCACTAAAGCATTGAATATATATAATTTATACAATAATCAACGAACACTGCTGATCTTGATGTATGTAAACCTTAGTTAGTGACCATAGCATGCACAGTTATGGCAAAAAATACCCCTCTTTTCATTAACATGGTTCAACCCAAGAGCAGTGCAGAGAGATGATTGAGCGCTGTAACAAAGCGGTGATTTTCTGTTTTTTAATTCAAATACTTTGTTGTTTCACTGATTCATGTGCTGTATAAATGATGTAAAGGGCTTATCTAAGAGATGTCGATGCTATCTGACAGTTTTAGTGCTGCTTTTAGGGACTGTGGACTCAAACATTAGCGGTTTTGTTCAACCAGCATTCTAAAGTCGTGCTGACGTCAAGTTCTCCAAACTATGGAAATTCATTAAGGACAAAAATATGAGGCACAGAATCCAGTGAATTTGAGTATGGCAAGATTTGTTGGCCCGGAAGTAGAGGTGGAAAGAGTACTAGAATATTGCACTCAGTTAAAACAGCTGCTATTTTAAAGATTTTTTTCCCAAGTCAAAAGACTTTAAGATGAAAAATAAAAATTTAAGTGAAAAAAATACAAATTTCATGGCTCGCTGCAGCATGTTCAAAGCCATGTGTGGTCTGTATTGGCAGTTTATATGCCTGACAAAATTTAAAGCTGCATTAGTACTGTGTTTTTGGCCACTAGGCTAATCACTGAGGGCCTCACAGGTACACTTGGTTCTTGGGATCCAGCACCTGACCTACAATCTGAATTGGGCCGGGTCCGAGTTATTTTCTGTGTAACTGGGATAGAGCTCTGCTGTTAGCTCTGACCCAACTCCCAACTCACCCTAACTCTGATCTAATATTAATATGCATCATAATTATCGGGTGAGGAAAAAAGTGTACTACATTACATGCAATACATGTATTGTAACCATTTTCAACCACAATAAGCCTGTTTGGATCACTGCATTTTGGAAAAGGTCAAATTAGGTGGAAATTAGTGAGCATTTTTGTACTTTCCGGCTCCCTCAGCCTAAAGTTTTTTGAATGGGTTTTTGGTTAGACACCTAAAATAAGGTCTGTGGTTAAGACAAATTTAAGAGATGACATAGAATATGTCAGTAAATGCCCCACTTGTGAATATGTGTTTTGAAGCTTTTATGTGTCTTAAAAAAGGCGTTTGCTAACAAGTGGCTAAATGACACTACAAAATGTCATCACACTGAACATGGCTTTACAGCCTTATTGGGGTGGTGACGTTAAGTAATGTGACTGTGGTGCAGTCCCTTAATAGCCTAATGTTAGCTTTTCACTTCTGGCAGTTCATTTAGGCTTAAAAATCATGAAGGTTGTGTTAATTTACTTACTATAGAGCTTATTTTCTGTAATAATCCAAAATCCAGTGGAAATATCCTACTGGCTTGTTTATGAGGTAACCAAGGCGAAGCTAACTTCTGCGTCGGCCTACAGAAAAACGTCATCCCTTGAGCACACTATTATGTCTGACTATCCTCAGGTCCCTTTCAGAGTGTCTTTTTTCTTTTCTTGTTTCTCGTTTTGGAGGGTGGGGGCATCCAGCTAAGGTTTCCACAAATCTGTTCAGGATCAGGTCCAAAATTTTGATTCTCGATCCTTTTAGCTTTGTTTTGTTCTCCTCCAACTCCTAGCGGCTCAGGCCTAACCATACGTTAAATGATCCAAAACAGGCTAGTAATGCTAATTTTAATTTGTGAATTTTAACAAGTCTGTTTTAAAGACGTACGGCAAAGACACGGGTTTAAGTGATGAAGTCATCTAGAGACACATCCTCAAAATGAATAATGGAAAAAGAGCTGACTTTACTGGGCCATGTGACCCAGCAGGGTTCCAGTTCAGGGATACAATGGTTTAAAAATATTGACATTAGTGTCCAGATAGTTTGGAATGCAGTTTTATAGTGTGTTTTCCCCTTCAGCACCTAAATAGTTCTCTAATATTGCCATGTCCTCACCCCAGAGTCTTTGAAGGGACAGATGCAGCTCAGTGGCTGAGCCTGTTGCCAGTTTGATTTGTTGGCTGCATTTGGGATTGAGGGTTATAAAAGCAGCATAACTTCCCTATTTATCATCGTGATACACAGTGCATATTCTATCACCTGCCTTATGCTGTTAATATGTAACTCAGGGTTGTTGACAAAAATATTAACCTGGACACTAAAATGGAAAAACCTGAGATGCATGCATCATGGGACTTAAATGTCACTGCCTTCACATCAGGTGCCATTTTAGGGCTCGTCCAAGATGTACAAATGTGTAGGTTAAAGATTTTGTAGTTTAATGTTTATCCTATTACATTAGTGTTTACAAATGCTGACTTCTGTATATTTGTTCACAAACGAGTCTCCAGGATCTCATAGAGATCGCTCCCCTTCATTTAAAGCTTACGCTAATCAGTGCCGTCCCTCAGAGGGATTTTCCGTGAACAAAGACCTCAGTGTTTAGATTGTGAAAAGTCAGTGTTGTTATATTTATAATAGATGACAAATCAGACCGAAACTCTCATCTCTCAACAATCTTTATTTATTCTGTCAGCAAACAAATACAATAAAGCATACATCTCTTTTTTTCAGAACCCGACCTGCTGTGAAAACACCTAATTATTAGGCATGTTTTATCTTCAACAGAAAGGAAAGTCTGTGGAAGTTCATCAATGCATCTCATGACAATTTTTAAATGTGCGTGCAGTGTTATTGCCATATAAAGTAGGATACAAGACCTGTGATAAAAATTAATATATTTGATCCTATGCCAGCCCATTGAGTAGCAGTATTCAATACATTTAACATAAAAAGGCAACCGGCATCTGAAACGTCAAAAGGTGATCCAAAAATGGGGGTCTGACCCAGAAGCAAAAGTTTAAAATGACAATCAACTGTTAATCTTTCTGTCAGTCAGAATCATCTGTAATGTCATCTTGATCCACGTCCTCTCCTCTCTGGACCTTCGTACTCTGCTCAGAGTCTGTCTCCTGGGCCTGATGGAAAGCACATGAGACATTTGGCAAACATGGTAAATGAAAGCAGCGAGCCTGTCTGCATAAAGCAGCATTAAGGAGAAACTAAATAACCTGAGGTTTTGGATCTAACACCTTATCAAACGTTTTCCCTGTTAGCTGTGTCAGCCAGTAATCATTAGCTTGTTGGAGTTCCAGCATTTATCTTATCAGCCCACCCTCTGCAGTCTAAACTGCCCATTAACCGACGTGTAGGGTTTTCAACGTCATAAAGTAACGACTGACTCAGCAGAAGTAGAGTCATGGTGTTTGGTCAAGGTCAACGTGTGCTGCATATGCTTCAAAATAAAACCTGTGTTGTCGTCCCAAATCCTGCCAATCTTCTCAGCCACTTTACGCTTGCTTACACATTACTTTATCCAACTATTTATTTATTGACATCGATAAATTAGTTTTATGAAAAGGTATCTGCCACCGAAACACAGGTTATTTTGAAACGCACCACAGGTCATACAAATTATACAGAGGAAACCACTTGTAGTGATCACATCTGTCCAGGTCAAATTGATTATATTAAGTGGATGATTATTATAACACATCATAACACATCTTTATTTCTCATGCAGATTCCCATCTTATTGACATTAGTATATTTTATACATGAATATAAAGTAATGAAACTGACAGTTTTGGCTGTTTACCCAATTGTATTGACTGTTTTAAAATACAGTGCAGCCTTTCCATTATTTATTTATTTATTATTTATTCTTTTCATTTCATTCAATAGTTGACAGAGCATTATAAATCCACTATATGAGGGCAACTTTAACCACAGGTGCTCTCCCTGTGTGCATTTGTTTCTGTCGCCATCACTAGCAGCCATACGCTTCAAGGAGACTTGTTTTTTATTAACAGTAAATTACTTTTGTTTTTACCCATCATGATTTCATTTTGCATGCAACACCAGCCTCAGATATCCAGCTGGAAGTAGACGGGTTACCACAGGGCAAAGGATCATGGGAATAATGTTTAAATTTTTTTTTTTTAAATTACTATGGTTTAAAGTTGTTTTTCCCATGTATTTTAACTTGAGAAAAGACGACTTGATGAAAAGACGATTAGTTTGAAGAAAAGTATTCACACATCTAACTGTCTCAGATGCAGGTGCATTGGAAAATATCACTTCAGTCTTTTTGTCCAGAAAATCCTGCACACTGCTCTTGCGCAGCTTCACAATTTATTAGTAACACTAACGTCTCAGTCCTCCTGGGCCTTCGTCAAGAGTGTTCAACACCATTACTTCCAACATTGAGCTTAAATAGAAACTGCCCCACTCATTTCACACCTGTGAAATGAAACGTTAATGTTACTTATAAATTGTGAAGCTGAGCAAGACCAGTGTGCGGGATGTTCTGTTCAAAAACTCATAAAAAGACCAACATTGAAAACTGTAAGTAGGGTATCTAATTATGATAAGGAAATTATTTAAGCAATTTTTGGTATAAGAATGATTCTTTCCCAAACTTTTTTATGATCCATTTAAGCAGTTGATTACTGTAACTGGGATCACTAGAAGCGGTTTCCACTGTAGAATAATTCGTGTGCACACATTGTCAGAAAATGTATCTTACATACTTGTTGGTCGCAGTAGTTTTCACACACTTTTAATAAGTTTTGCCAACTGATTCTCGGTCAGGTCTCTCCTGATTGTAGTAAATTCTGGGTCATATTGTCTCAAAATGTTAAAGAAACAAAACCTTTTAATTTTTCATTCAATAACTTATCTACAGGGAGCCAATCCTATTCCTGCATCAGATGTAAACATAGTATCTAAAAATGGCAGGTACCTCATCATCTGACTGGTCCTCAGGCAGCGGTGCATTTTGCTCCTCCTCCTCTTCCTCATCCTCACTTTCTTGTGACCTCTGAGAAAGAATCTCTTCACCCTGCAGCATATATTGTTCTTTTAGGTGAATGACTCAAACATGAACAGAGACACGTGCCACAAGTTCAGTGATATTATACCTTCAGGTTGCGATTCTTCAGGTTGCCAATCCAAAATGCCTCCTGACAGTTGTGGAGCGTCAGCATGGCCTTCACTCTGTAAACAAACAGCTCCAGGCTCTTCTTTAAGGCTGGCACGTGGTTGGTCAGGCTTGTATCCTGGTGAATCTGGGCACCAACACATCATAATAAGGTTACTGAATTATACAGCACCAGAGGAATAACATATACACCGTCCAAACTCTATCTCCTTTCTAATTTAACAGGAACATTTAGTCCTCCAGGACTGGTAGATTTGGCACCAGTACACACAGAGAGCATCTCCAACTAGAGAAATTATAAAGAAATGAGCTACCTTCGAATGTCCACACATGTGATGGAGCTGCCGGGTGCTGAGCTGGAAGGTTTTTAGCAAGCCCTGGACATCCTCCTTAAAAAGACAAAGCATCACACATAGTCACCCCACAGTGAGCAATGCATTTTGCATGTTCACTCAACAACACAAAGAGTCTCTCTGTGCTTAGCCATGCTGTAGTGCCAACCCATGTTTGAATGATATGATGAAGCAGAAGCAGAAAATATGCATTTATACATACAGCAAGGTATCAATCAACTTGTTCTGGGAGAAACTAGAAAATCTTATTTAAGTACTATGACATGTTACTGCTTTTGTGCCTTCATACAGTGTGTTTTGATTTGATTTTCTGAAGGTCTACACCATAAACTGTATAAAAGAAGTGGGCGTAGCTGCTGTGAGGTCACCAATTGGCATGCTGGCTTCCGTTTTGAACCCTCCAGCGTGGCATTTTGGCCGTCATATAAGTCACCACATTAGGATTAAAGAGTGGGACTGAGGAGGATATGCATGGCTACGCCTCTTTCTTAAATTGACAGGTCACCATGGAAGCGACTTGACAAACACAAGGTAGCCACACCCTAAAACCTACACTGGTTTATCGTCTATTTTACTGTACATGGGACCATAACTTACAAACTGAACATCATGCTGTCTTGAAGAGGACGTGAAACTAGAGATTCAGACTGTAATCTCATAGGGAAAATGTTTACTGAGGTAATTAATCAAGTGAGAATTAAGGCAATTTTCTTAGACTTATATACAATCTAACTTCCTTTTGCTGCAGAGTCACCCCCTGCTGGCAAATAAAAGGAATGCCAGTTTCAGGCACTTGCGCGCTGACATCACATTCACTTCTTTTTATACAGTCTATGGTCTCGACACATTGATTAGAATCAGGCAAATTCCCCCAAGTGTACTTTAAGACTGCTGTTGAGTTTTTTTCAAGGCCACACCAATACACAACTTCACAGTTTCATTTACAAGCTGTTCCAGAAAACAAGATTTCATGTGGTTACCATGTGCCTTTTGAAACTGTTGTCCAGTAGTGGCATCCCCAACTTCAGGAAAGACTCCAGGAAAAGGCGGCCATACTGACAATAAAAACATTATAATCAGTTAATACGACGTCACAGCAGTTTCACCTGAATGTGAAATATTTATCAGCAGCACAGCCAACTCACCTTTAGGCACACATTGAGCACCGGCCTGGAATCAAACACCTGTAAGAAGAGATTAGAAAACAAATACGTGAGTTCACAAGTCATACTTAAACTGTCACTTAAAATGACTTGTCTAATTTAACCTATAGTGTAAGTTACTCAAATCTATTCCAAATATGACCTAGTGCTTGGCTGAATATTGGAAATAGATGAGGTCAAATGTCCAAATCAGTACAAATACATTCACAGCTGTCAGATCATGCGAACAGACCTTAACCAGGTTGACCAGGATATGAAAATCCCTGACAGCCAGGTTCCATGTCAGCAGCTTCTCACTCTGAGCCTTGAGGGAGGACAAGGGTTACATGTTTTAATATTTACAACAAACACTCACATGTACACAAAGTACATTCTCACTAATGTGAATTATTTGAAAACAGACAGTTGAGGAGAAATTAACAATTAGTAAGGCACAAAATCACACAACAGACTCATTCTCAGTTCAGAGTTTGAACAAACTGACATTCACAAATGTTTAAAAGTATAATTACTGACTTGCCACTTTCAGTACATGTGTAGCAGTGTTTTGTGGCTTAAACTTCACCGAGCGCTCAGGTATACTGTACATAAGAAAACACAGTGCGACACCTAGTGGCTGACCTCAGTGCTGTCACTGGCTTTGCAAGCAGGAATCTTCCTGATGGCCTTCTCCAGCTCTGCCATCAACACTTTGTAGAACACCAGGAACGTCTGCCTGAAGAGGGCGAACGGTAGAATGAACAACAGAGCAATAACAGGATGGATAAATATACTTTTACTGTGATTACTGTTCATTTATCGTGACTCCAGTTAGCTGTCAGGTAGGATGGCAGGAGCACATGAATCAATTTAAGCTCCATTAACGCAGTCACCACCTCAGACGCAACCTTCCATTTTGCTCTGAGGCAGCAAAGCAAAATGATCTGATGGTGAGGAGGATCTACCTGCTGAGAGTGGGCCATGATGAAGAGCTCTCATCTTTGGATGCATTGAGGAGCTCAGGGATTCCTTCTCCAGCTATCTCCTCCACTGCCTTCAGAACATCATCAACGTGCTCCAGGTAGATGCTGCAGAGAGAGGAAAAGAGACATCATAATTAAAACATTTAGATGCTTGTTCACGATTATAACAACACCATACATGACAACAAAAGGCGTTAACTAGAAACTGTGTGCATTATAAACATGCTGACACTTCTAGGTGCTTTAACATTAATGTATTGTCATAGTATTGGTTAGCTTCGAGAGATGCTGAACAAAGTACCAACTTCATGAGTGACTACAAATACATTAAACTACTTGTGTGGTTGAATAGCACAACATCCTGGAGCTGACGCTTGCTCGTCTGCTTCTACTGCATGGTGTATAAATATTAAGGTAATTTCCCTGAACAGTTTGCATTGCAAATGACATCACACACACACACACACACAAACATAAAAATGTCACAAATACAACCATAAATGTTTTTATATGCTCTTTAAACAGAGTTCCTTCTGACTACAGCAAGTTAGATTTAAGACTTTTTAATGGCACTCAGAATCAAATTTAGGTTGGGGACAATTCTGCCCAAAAATCTACTGTAACATAAAACATGTATTTTTTTGTCTCGTAGTGGAGACGAAGGTAGAACAGAACTGAAATACCTGGCATCTGTTGGCGGGTTTTGTGTTTCTTACTTTGCATGTGGGACTCCACAGCCTTGATTCCTATCATGAGTTTGAAAAACTTTTTGCATGTAATACACAAACCCTTGTGTGCTTTATTTGCACTGGTCTTAGCTAAGCCGGAAAATCTTGGTTTAATAGTCAATTAATGTTGAATTTACACTTCCCCATGTCATACAAGGTACAGCGACAGTTAGCTAACAAAGTGTTGTACTGCGGTCCTGATCTGTGCGACATCAATGTGAGAGGCATTCAGTCAGTCCTTTTTAAAATATATATTCCCAATCATTTTGAAACTTTACAATGCAATGCAGGAAAAATTAAATTAACAAAATCCTAGTTCCTTCACCTTCACTTGGAAGACTTTTTTGAAAGATCAATTTAGTACAGTTCAATATCAATTTAGGCCTTATTGTTAGATTCATGAATTCAATGCCTTTTAAGACTTTTTAAGGATTCACAGGAACCCTGTTTAAAGATGATGCTCTGGATAAAAATCAATTTAAGTCCTTTGAGGAATTATGTTTACTTTATTGACAGTGTGAATGATTCATAGAAGCTTGAGCCCCATTATTTCTGGAATATTTATGCAACCTTTTTTGTGTAACACAGCCATTTCTGACATGCCGACGCACCTTAGGAGAGCGTGAAGTGCTTCATTGAATTTGTTCCCTCGCTCCTTCTCTCCACTGGCTGTCACCCAGTCTTGGCTCAGGAAACGTTTCGCCAGGGAAGCTATTAAAAAAAATCAGACATTCATTATCACAGTTCGCTGGATAGCAGATAAGTTGATTAAAGTGAGGTGACATGTCGGACTGACCCGTCTGCTCTCTGTAGGCAGCAGGGTTCCCTCCTCTCTCTGACACAGTGGACAAAAGCTGGGAGAGAGACAAGGCCGTGCTCAGATTTGGCATCGTGCTGCGGAAGTTCACCAGGTACTCAAAGCCGTGTCTAAGAGAAACATTTGATTCTGTCAGAAACACAATGAAGACCCAAGGATATTAAATAATATGTTCATATCTACTGTGCTGTAGAGTGGCTTTTTATTCAGTTTATTGGAGAGTTGTGTGAGTATGTTTTCTATTATTAGCAAAAAGGATAATGTGTTTACTGTTTTAGCAGAGACCACCAAAGCTGCTTGAATGTTATAAAGAAAGAGATCAATAGATGAATAATAAAAAGGCATAGATCATATTTAGTAGCTACTCTGCTGCTCTTAAACTTCATCACTCACTTTACAAGCTGCTCCAGGGTTAACTCAGCACTTCCTTCTTTCAGTCTGTTGGCCAAAACTCCCAGAGCCTTCTTCAGTAAGCTCCGCTGCCCCAGCTGACTGAATCCAGACCTGACACATAAACATAGACACATTTCAGAGACAGAACTTAACAGAAGCCAGACATGCTGACTCAAGCAGGACGCAAGTCAGTGGTGCTGGTCGTCCTCACCAGCTGAAGGTGGTGTTCAGGACCTGCAGGAGCAGCTGGTAGGCTGATGACATCAGCTGGTACTCTTGAACATCTGTGGCAGGGCCGTCCACGATGCCGTTGTTCTCAGACAACAGTGTCTGAGGGAAAAAATGCACAAATGTATATAAAGATGAAGCATATAGTGCTTCTGTCATGTCTGCAGATTGTTTGTATTTGTACCTGAAAATGGTTGTGGCAGTTCTCCAGGTGTGTACAGAGGGCGGGCAGCAGCTGGACACAGCAGGAAGCGATATCCTTGGAGCTCCTCTGTTGCAGATGGGAGAAGCCCGTGCTCTTATCCGCCTTTGCCTGCACAGGAAAATATTTCATTAGGTCTTGTCTAATATAAGCCTGCATATTACAGGTTTACACATTAAGCTTCTTGATGACAAACACACTCAGAAAATGTCATGTCTTCAGGCTTTCATTTGATCTGCCTGCATCAAAGAAAAATCTAAGAAAACAATAATGAATTTTGCAAACACCTCTTATCCCCAGACACTGTCAGACCTGCACATTCTCACATTTCAAGAGCTTTCGTAACGTCTCTGCTCTGCGTTCATCAGCTTTTTATGTTTACCTTGAGGAAAGGGAGTCTCTTGGCCGGGGCAGCTGTAAGACTGAACTCCAGTTTGCGGAGCATATCCTCCAGCAGGAACACCAGCTCAGCAGGACCCAGCAGAACCTCCTCTCGCACCTAAATCATATAAGAATATTAGAGGAGATGTATCACAGAAACCTGTGTATTGATGCATGTGGTGCATAAATTCATACAATAGACAAAGACATTCATTGACTTCTCTACAATCCAAATCAATCCCCATGATTCCAAAACACTGATCTCAGTGTCAGAGGATGGCTGGGTAGTAACGTTCCCAGCTCAGGATATGTAAGATGAATTTACTCTAACCTTAAGTTCGACAGCCATTAATTTTCAAATCATTCACAAACTACGCAATCAAACCTATAAAAGTTTTACTCTCTTCTGAAACAAAACAAAACGTCTTACTGTCTGTCCTACCTTGGTGTGGAGCTCAGAGTCCAGCAGTGAGCGGGACAGCAGGCCACACTGCAGCACGCTGAGCACCTCCATATCCAGCTCCCTAAAAAACGGTCTGTAGGACGCCAGACTAACTCCTTGGCGGATCTCCTTTTCTTTCTCCTTCTCTGGTTGCTCCTTAAGCACAAGCAGAAGAACATATTAGTTAAGCTTGGTTATATTAAAATTAGATATTAATACGAGATGTTAAAGTTTACCTGCTGAGTTTTGTCTGCTTCGGTCGACTCATCAAGCTGAGAGATCTCTGAGGAGTCCTTTGCAGGGGCCTTCCTCTTCTTTCCTGTGCCATCTAAATAACAAACGTGATTTAGACAACCATGTAAATATCTATTCCCTTATTTAGAGTACTTAGTTTCACTTATGGGGAGTAAAATATCTTCTGTTGGGCACAGTTACCTTTCTTTGCCTTACTGACAAGAGCGGCAGAACTAAGTGTAACCCCATCTGTGCTTTCTCCATCAAAGTTGGCAACAGGTGGAACATAGCCAGGTGTCCCTGAAACACACATTTAAGAGTAAGTATTTTAAAAACTTAAGTAAAATTGACACTAAGTGGCATAATGGTTATATTCTGAGTATTGGTGGATGAAAAACTGACCAGCCAAAGCCCTCTCTAACAGTGTCTGAAGGTAGGTGATGTTCTGCAGACGGGTCATCACTTTCATCTTACTCTCTGTTTCTTTTTGTGTACAGAATGCGTTTACGACCTGTCACAAAACGGGTAAGACGTGGCTTTAGTCGCACAGTTTTAAGAGAAGTGTTAATCACGTAAAAATTAATCACGTGCTGTTACCTCTCTGAACCAGTTGATGGTGTGAAACAGCAAAGTACATAGGAACTCCCTCTCGGCTTTCGACAGGCTCTCCATTTTCTCTACCACGTCCATGTCTGTCAGGATCAGAGGGCAGCCTGTGCAAACACACACAGACACTAATTATTTCACAGCCACAGAAATGAGAACAAACTGGTTTCCAGGAGAAATGTGTAACTTCCACTTGCTCACCCAGCAGTGCGTCAATCTCCTCCAGGTCTCCCTGGTTCTGTTTCTCCTCACAGAGTCTCAGGAGGCGGAAAAACGGAGCCAGGCAGAGAGGAGACACTCGCCTGCCCCTAAAAACAACACAACAGGAAACACATCCACTGTCTCATTCATGACAAACTGAAATTGTAAATCAGACTCTATTGCAAGTGAAATACATCATCAGTGGATAGAGATGGGGGGAGTGAGGTGACTGACTTGTGTGCCTTGTCGACTTGACTCTGCTGATCTCCTTTGTTCTGAACATCATTAGCCAGTAGAGGCAGCAGATTGATGGCGATGGCTACGTTACCTTCATACAGGTTGTACATTACATGGGGCTTGAAGAGAAAGGAGCTGAGATACACAAAGGAAGGAAAAAAGCAGTTATAGGAATACATTTTTTAGTATATTAAAATGTGTAATATCTTATTTTCCTAGCTTTCCATTACTAACCCAGATATATCTGGGCCTAGATCAACTGCAAAGTCATCCTGGAAGTCTTGTAAGGCGCTCTGTCCGATCGTTTCCTATTGGTAGGAGGAAAATAACAGGACCAGAATGCTTAATCATGCTTCAGTTGCAACTTCTGTTGGATGCATGTCAAGAAATGTAATAAATAAAAAGATAAGAGGGGTTATTAAGATAGGGGGTATGGTAAATGTTTGTTTGAGGCATACCTGCACCTGTGGGTCCAGGGTAGAGCTCAGGATCAAGTTGGCTAGTTCATCATAGTACAGAGCTGCAGCCTCAGGTGAGCTTTCACTGCTGGACTTCACCAGCTCCAACAGGGCGGTCACCTGCGACACGCGATACACACACACACATGAAGATATCTACAGACCAGACACCTGCAGTTACAATCACTCTGTACTGCAGAAAATACTCTTCAAACCTCAATTAACTTAATAATAATACACATTTTTATAGTGTGTGGCAAATTATTACCATTACAATGTTTTTGCTGAACGTCAACACAGTGCAGCAACTACAGAGCAAAGCTGTAGCTGGTGTGCAGTCTAAATCAAGACACTGACACTGCACATGAGTCAGATGCTTGAATACAGGCCCACAACCACCAAATGAAAGGTTGTTTATTCACTCTGCCCTGAGGTAATGCTCACCCTACCCAAACCCTTCTTGAACTGAAACTGGTTCATTGTTTTAAATCACTATAAAACACTAAATCGAGAACTAAAGTACATTAAAAAAAAAAGTTTGTTGGTATCTGAAAGTACCAGAAGTTATGGACTGCAGCTATAATGCACTATTAAACCCTCACTGTAAGCCACAGGTAAAGTGATAGTGGAATAAAAATGAACATAATAAAAAGCAGACTAATGAAAATCACAATCTGTAACATCCTCACAACAGACACGTTGCTCATAGTGATTGTTTTACTGCCTAATATGTACCTGTCTGAGCATCTCCTGAGGTAACACCCCTTTCTGTGACTCCTTCACTTTGGGCCTGCAGGGAGTGGGGTGGGGGATGGGGGGCAGCAGTGAGCGAGATCGAGACACAGAAATAAAGTGACAGAATCAACGAGGAAAATGTTGCTTTTACACCTGTGAGCGCCAGCCCTTACCTGGAGGCCCCCATGCTGCCTACAATCATGATAGCACCAATGATGCCAATGCGCTTGTACTTGGGCACAGTGCTGGACAGCTGTTTTCGGATCACTATGTGCATGTCATCCTGAGGGGAGACACACAACGAGAGAGACAGGTTCAGCCGGTAAGGAGAGGAAAAGCCAGAAAAAGCACTGTAAAAGCATCTTTGTGAATGTAGGAATGTGCACCTGAATGTGAGCTCCCTGCTGCTGTTGCCCAAAGGCCAGTCGGCTCAGGAGGTGAAAGAGTCTGCGGATCTGCTGGGGTGTGAGGTTGTCCATGTAGTCCAAGATTCCCTGTGCCAAATATTGTGCTCAGTTAAACAACTAAACACAATGGTGAAATACTAAACCTTTAAGCTACACGGAGTCGGCATAAACATCCAAGTTTCCTGCACATTTTCCATTTCAATATATCCACACTTTAACAGACTCACAATTCAAGACTTCTTGGTAGATTTCTCAGCACATATCTGACATCTGAGCACAAACAGCTGGATGTTTATTAGCCAAATAAATTGCTTTAAAATCCAGTTACTAATATGTTAATATATTGCCTCGTTTTTGGTCGGGGACGTCCAGATTTGGTTCAGTTATAAGGCACTCAGAGCAGAGCTGTTTTGAAGCAGAGCTGTTTTGCAGGCTGTGATGTACATGTGTAGAGGCAGTTTTGTGTGGGAGTGTGCAGTCAGCCGCACGCCATGTTTCTTGCCTTGCTGTTGATGACATCAGGCACACTCACACAGTGGTAAACACTTTGCTGTGCTGCCTGCTCCAAACGCCATGAAGAACACTCTGCTTGTATGATCAATTTCTTTTGAACATTTTGTAGAAAACACAAATATTTTTTCCATACTCTCTTCTCTTTTTGCCGTACTGATCAGGACCTGGAGATTACTAAAATTAAATCCTATACTTTTCCATTTGCACAGGAACCTGTACATTTATTGTATTCAAAATTCTTTTCAGAATATTATCAGTGTGGTTTGGTTGGCGGCTACAGTATCAGACACGTGGATCACCTCCTTACCTTGACAAAGACGGCATACAGAGCCATCTCTGAGGGCTTTTCTGTGACCAGGCTGCAGAGTAGCTCCAGAGCCATGTCCACCTCCCCACCTACACCACTGCACACATGGGTCACTAAAGAGCCCACCACCTCCTATAAACATAATACAGAACAGAAATGAAAAGACTCGGGAGTATAAAAGAACAGCAGATAGAGAAGCTTGTGCACATTTTAAAAAAATGAATCTCAAACCCACCTGCTGGCAGTAAGAGTCAAAAGCGGTGAATGAGTGTCGGTACATGTGTCCACCAAAAGGCACCACACAAGGGTCGGGGGAGCGCAGCAAACTCTGAGCCAGGGCCAGGATGGAGGTGAAGTACCCTCGCATGACCTAGAGTATCATTATTCATTAACACTACACATATTGTTCATATGATAATGAATTAATGCATCAGTATAAAAAATAAAATGTACTGTGTACTACTACATTTATATTCAAGCTCGTACGTCCACAGACTGTCCCACCCACCTGAGCATAGTCCCTGAAGGTCCTCTGGAGCAGAGCCTCCTGGATCAGTCCTGTCCTCACTTTCACCTTCAGCAGCCTCTCTGCCCCCCGCCGGCTCTGGTTGGCATTGGTGGAGTGGAGGATGAGCAGCACCAGCAGATCTATTACCTGATGTGGCAGAGCACATTTTCTTATAAATGTTATTCATAAAAATAGGTTTCCTACATGCACATAACTTCAGGATGTCATATTTTATTTTATATTTTTCCACATTCAAACTTTGTGACTGGTTTATGATAGACAGTGTACAGTATGTACAGTCGAATTTTCCAGACTTCACTTACACCTTTAAAACTATTGTCAAAATTAACAAATTCCTTTTTTACCATTTTTTTTTAAAAATTGTATAGAGTTGTGTGGGAACCTCCAAAGCCCTCCATTTACACTAACCACTTTACTAGGGAATACCCTGAAGTGAGGAGATGACACTCACCTTATGGTTCTCCTCTTCGTCCACTGATTCTATTGCCTGATGAAAAGCAACAAAATAAATATATAAATTCAGTAAACATGAGTTGAGCGGACTGTTATTCAAAAGCATCAGCAATCATTTATCAATTAAAACACGGGGGCTTAGATAATAATTATTTCCCACCTTGAGCCAAGCCTCAGATACTGTTTTCTGGAATCGCACTGCTGACTTGATGCCGTCCAGTGTCAATGTAACACAGTCCTGACTGCTGCCAGCTGCTGGTGCGGAAGAGGACCTGTTCCAAATTCAGACTTACAGTATTAGATTAAATTCTAAGGAATATAATAGAGTGGTGCAGAGGTGACATTTATTTATAAGCCAAACTGGAAGTTACCATGATTATTGCAAAGAAATAAACTCTCTGGCAAACAAAATTTTATGACACTTACATGTTTTGTTTTGCAAGATTCACAAATAAACACCACTTGTAAACGCAATCGGCAGAAGTAAAGAGCTAAAGTTAGGCTATAAACATACTACACCATGGTCACATGACTTCATCACCACCACCACCACGAGGCTGTAAAGCCGTGCTCGGCGTAATGACGTTCTGTAGTCTCAGTTAGCCACTTGGCATGTAAAAGCACCAAAATCCGGTCGAAGTGCAAAAATGCTGACTTATTTCCAGGATTAAGGACTCATTCCTGCAAGAGCCTACTGACCTACTTCAAAACAGGTTCCTGATAGCATGTACAGATGTACAGTTGTGAATGGGAATCTGTGTTTTCTTACGCTGCTGATCCTTTGCTCTTCAAGAGATTTTGGGAGGCCTGCAGCCCAGGAGGAAGAATACACTGCTCCAACTCCAGCTTTTTACGAAGGTCACACACCACCTGCACACAGGGAAAACACACACCACTACCTTTACTCTAGTCTTGATGTTTTATTGTCTAAACCTATTCTTGATTTTATTGATAATTTATGTTGTTTGTGCTATTCATTCATTCAGTTATTTATATTTGGAGGAACTGTACAGCACTATATGCTATATAAATAACTTTGACTTGACTTGACTTGACCACTCTTTATTTTAAAATATATGCACTATAACAACCAGAGCACGATCTCAATGTTTTGTTTTCAATGCAAAATGCTATAGACATGACACTGAGCTCTGACCTCATAAGCATCAGAGGCTGAGACAGAGTGCAGGATGAACTTGACCACCACAGGTAGATCCTCCAGCTGCACGGCAGCCAGAGTGGCCATAACGGCTCCACGGACCTAAAACAGCAGACAGTAACAATGGCATTCACTTGGCCTTTATTAATACAGCAAAAATAAGTGTGTCTGTGTGTCTGTCTGCGTGCGTGTGTGTGTGTACTACCTCTGTAAGTAATGAGGAGCTGAGGTTCAGACTGGAAAGGGCATCCAGGATCGGGACAGTCAGTTGAGTGTTCTCCTGGAGTAAAGAGCTGCAGAGAACAGTGGTTAAAGTAGCAGCAAGTGCGATCAGCAGCTCTGAAACCACAGATCTGCAGTAGAGATTTACTGTACATACTTGAGCTCTCTGGCTATATCATTGTGCTGGGAGTCTTCCAGTATCTCTGGCAGACTGGTGATGATGTCATGCTGAACTTCCACCGGTGCTACCGACACCAGCTCCATGAGCTTCACTGCCAACTCCTGCAAATAACAGGCCACAAAGAAGGTAGAAATAAACTCATCACCATCAAAGTTAGTGATGACTAATATATAATGACAGGTCTAATGGAAAAATAAAAACACGCCTAAGAACTTTAATGGCTGTGACTACTGTACATGCAGCTTATCATTACAGAAATGACTACCTTGCTGTCCACAACTCGGTCTAGCCACTTCAGCTGGTTAATAATTGTGTGAGGAATACTGAGACCTCCATCTCCAGCGCTGTGAAGGACGGAACAAGATGACATTTAGAAAATAAGACAGTGGCAGAAAAGTGTGTAAAATGGTTCAAATGCTGTAAAGTACACTCATATGAAATACTGACCCATCAAGCATAAATTCAGGGAGCTTCTCAAGCAAAAGGTTAATGACTAAAGTCTGTGTGAAAAGGAAAAGTAGACTGAGGGTTTGTGGAAGATACACTGTACATGTACACTTTGCATAATGCACATTTGCATGTCTCATACCGGAAATAGACATTTTGAATTTTGTGGTGCAGCTGTCTTGGGCTGAATCTGTGCAGAGAATCTTACCTGCAGCATCTCAATCCCCAACAGCATGCGGAGCAGACTTTCTTGGAATGAGCTGACACGACTGCAACACAGCCGAAAACATGTCAGTATGTTACACACACACCACAGCCCCGACATAAGCTTGGTCTAGGTCATAGCTGAGCCCTATATAAATTAAAGTTATGCCTGAAGTAGCCTCTGTAAGCTCTGAGTGCGTATGACCGTTACCTGGAGTCTCCATCAGACAATCGTGGGACACACGGAAGAAGGCAGTTCCTGAACTGCTCAGGGTCCTCAATATGAGACTCCAGTCCAGTGGTGAATTCCTGTACAATCTGAGCAAAGAAATACCAGTGAAACACAACTGTCTCATGCCTTGATTGTGTATAAGAATGGTGTATATACTTACCCCGGGGTACCTGGGACTCTTTTTTAGTTGCTTCTGGATCCTTTTTTGGAAAACTACTTGGTCGACAGCTAAAAGAGAAAAAGTAAAAGACAAAGATCACAAAAATCAGAAATGAAAAAACTGATTTCATTTACTGGAAATTTGACACTTGGATTGAGTGTGTTTACCAATCTCATTGGATGTGCCATCTTGTTTCAAGGTGACACCTGCTTCTCGGAGAAAGACAGCAAACACACTTTCATTTGTCACTTCTGGAGCAGGTTCCTTTGGTTGGCGACCAGTGCTGCGGCTCTTCTTTGCCTCTATAGAGAGAAGACAAAAGACCTTTAATAAAACAATATCCAGCAGACAGAAGTGGGACAATGTTTAGACTATCAGTTAATGATGGGAGCAGGATGTGGTGTCTGCACAGTATGTTGGTGCAATCATGTCAGTGTGATGTCAAACATGTAGTGGTTATGTCACACTCCTGTGATACTAATTCTACTTTGTTCTCAGTGTAAATAATTTAACATTAGCTAATGTTACAGTGAGATAAGGATCTGGGAACTGGGATATCTTAGTTGACAAGCTGTGGGACTTCACTGGGAAACACTGCACTGACACAGTTATGAGCTGCTGTGATATTACGCTACATTATACAGTACTTACTGGTGGTTTTAGGAGCTCCCTCTCCTTTATCCACAGAGGAGCGTCGCTTTCTGCGCAACATCTAATTAAAAATATAAAAGGCATGAGGTTTTTAATAACCACACCCGGCTAGCATCCACAGTAGCAAACAAGCTAATTTCACTCAGAAGCTTTACCGTCACAGAAAACTATGTCCAGCTAGAGTCTGACGTTGTTAGCTAGTAACGTTAATTCATTAATTAACGTTTCCGTTAAGACACAAACATGCCACACGCTAAGTATGTGACGCTATATCACGTTTATGTTGCCGGCTGTCAAAATAATTCAAAATGATAAAATGTAAACATACTTTTATGGACAGACGACGATGTTACGACCCCAAGGAGAGCACTTACAAAACAAACTTCCGCGCCAATAGGCTTTGCGCGTCATCAACCACAGTTAGGGATCATCTTCATTGAGTTAAGCTAACAGAGGGTCGCAGCTAGATATAAATGCCCAAATACGCCTAAGAGAAATAAAATAAAGCAACTACACATGTTGTGTATCCTTTTAGAAGTTCGTCCCCTGGTTGAAATATCTGTTGTGACTTTAAAAGTGGTCTTTCGGTCAACACTAGAACGATTACAACATTTGTCAGACGGTCTCTAATTTTCTACATTTGGGTCGCGCATTTTACAAACACGCTGTCTGTTGTTGGGCGGGGTTAGAACTCTGCCGACTTGTTTGTTCACGAGGACTTTTTCCGGGATACGCTGTGTAGGAAAACAAGCACAACCCCGGAGCGCGGTACCTGTCATCAAAGAGTGTACAGTGGATTGAGCGTGTTCACTGCTGCCCGCTTCCCTTTTCGCCTCGTAGGGTAACTATTAACACTAGCCCAGTGACGTTTTGATAAATGAACTTAACGACTTAGTGCAGCTAAATGAATAAACTGCGATATTAAAATACATTTAAATAAATAAAATGAAATAAGCTAGCTGCGTGACTGAGTAACAGTTTAGTTAGTACAGCAGTCAGATAGCCTACTCACAGAGTCAAATCCCCTGACATATGTTCACAGCTTTATTGCACAATAATACAACATTAACCCCTGATATTGGTCCATTTGTTGATCTTAATTGTTTGACTTTTCAAATAATTATTTCGGCATGTTTCAAGTGAAATGATCATTGATAAGTCAAAATTATGAGAAATTAAGAACACATTTTAGTTAATGGGCCAAAATTGTTAGATACAATGTCAAAGTTGAGAGTTAGCCTATTAAATCCATGTTATGATATGTATAGGCTAATTAGCCAATAAATGTTGACATATTATCTTACAGTTTTGATTTATTAATGGATTTTATTTTGACATCACAAGTAAAAATGACTCTATATGTTCAATGTTTGACTTAATATTTTTTAAAATTATTATTATTACTATTATCATTATTATTACAATTAAATAAGTTTTAAGTTACGATGAGTACATTTATGTGTAACAGTCTTGACTTTACATGTTAATGTGATTGTAAGAGCCACAGTGTGTGAATATGAGTTGATTTAAATATCACACAATATTCATTTCCAGACATTGTATAAAACATATATATTGTATAAAAAATGTAAAAGGACCAAAATGCATGTATGTTGACATTTGATAAGGGTGCTCCCTTTAATTTTGTAATTTACATGCAGTGCAGTTTAGTTAAGCAGAGAGCTGCATTAGACATGGGAGCACATAGTTTAAACTTTTCAGTAAACATTTTAAACTGGATTACGTTACTGTGCCTGCAGCTCATTGGTGGCTTTTTGCATGGGTGTAGATCCCGGGGGGGTCGGGGGTACATGTCCCCCCCAAATTCTGAAAAACACAAATTGTCCCCCCCAATTCTAAATAGCTTAAATGATTGAAATTGAACAAATGTATACAGTAGTCCTATATACTGGGACAAAGGGAAGATGATGAGGAGAAATGGGAATCTGTGAGAGGTGAGAGATGAGAACGTGAGTGGACATAACATGCCTGATACCCTGAAACTAGAAGTAGCATTAACTAACAGCGAAGCAGTGAAAAGGAGGGTGATGGCTGGTTCCATGTACTACTGGCTGTTTAAGAGAAATAAACAGTAAAGGTAAGCATATGATTCTCTTTGTAGTGCTTTTTGAATGACTTGGTGATGGTGATGAGCCTCTATGAAATCGTGAAATATGCTGGCAATCTCAAGCGCTCTGTGGGCATGATTTGCACGCATGCAATTAAAAAAAAAAATTACAACTGACTGTGTCCCCCCCAAACTTGTCATCAGATCTGCACCCATGGCGTTTTGGTATTCATAGCGAATGCCCCTACAGTGATGGGCCGTCCCGCACACTGCAGGCTGTGAACTATCTTGACAGCTGAATACAAGCTCTTTGACCGTAGTTAAGGTTGGCCCCACATACAGCAGCAGCTCAGTGTCTGAGGACGACACAAGGAAACGTAGCGACAGTTGAGATAAGGACTGGTGTCACGCATTGCAAGAATGGCTGCGAAGTTCTACGACCTCACGGCCAAACTGTTAACAGGAGGAACATTTAACTTCTCCTCCCTGCAGGGCAAAGTCGTCCTCATTGAGAACGTCGCGTCTCTCTGAGGTACGACCACCAGGGATTACACCCAGATGAATGAGCTCCACGAGCGCTACGCCGGGAAGGGGCTCGTTATCCTGGGAGTGCCCTGCAACCAGTTCGGCCATCAGGTGAGGACATGAACGCTGTATATGGACCTCCAGACAGACTGGGGTCATTTCTGTTTCTGTGCTTTGTTTTTATTTCTTTTATTTTGCTGCAAATATTTGATTTTATTTCCCGGAAATAGCCCACATACTTTAGACTGTATAGGTCATGCTACAAAACAAGAAATATTCAATATCATGCAACTATTGTAAATTATATTTAAGGTGTGCTAAGGCCACTGAAGTGGAAGGATTTTTGTTCCTGTTTATTTAAGTTTAAAACTTTATTCTTGTAAATGTGTAATTACAGCCTATTCCAGACACAGTGATCTAAGTAAATTACTACATTATCTAACCCAGTGGTAAAAAAATAAAAAAGAAAAGCAAATCTTAAATTTAATGACACATTTTTCTTGTGAGTAATTCAGTTGCTGTGAGCAGCTTCAGCACTGAGGGACATTTAGGAAAGAGGAAGTTGCGTGAGTGTTGCAGGGTTACCAAATCACCTCACAAAAGGCACACCAGAGTTTTTAAGTTGTTCCTTGTTCCTCAGTTCATTTTGCTCTGCACCACCATGACAATGCACACAATAAGCAATATGTTATTGATTAACTTTCACTAACTCATTAATAGATGGTGAAAGAAGGGATGGTTCAGTTAATCAGCAGGAAGTTCAGGGGAGGGGCTCCTCCTGTGAGAGTCAGATAAGATAAACTCTGCAGAGAGAAGATTGATGAGAGTCTTTGAGTCACACCGCAGGCTCACAAATAAACTCAGGGTTAGCTGTGCGTTAGAAGGGTTTACTGATCAGACCACTGATCTGTGAAGCAGCAGCAGATTTGTTAGTATTGAATTAAACAGTTGTCAACTATTTAAAACCTTGAGTGAGTAAGGGACTGTTCTTTAATTGTCAGAGAAGGTGGGTGGCTAGGGTGTGACTTCATGTGTTTTTTACGTTAACCCTCCACCTAGCTACAAATATGTTTCCTTGAGCGTCCCTGAATTACTGGAGGAAAATGCATGCTATTTCCAGTTCTGCCGGTCCAGTCAGATTCACAAGCTTAAACTGGTTGGATTTTATGCAACGTGGTTGAATCCTCATTTGTCATGACGGCACATTCTGGCATAACCTGTGCTGACTGTGTCACAGCGCTAAATCTAACTTATTTTGCTTTAGTAAGGTTTGTTTACATGACAGTTCCAGAAGTGCATATTTAACGGATTCAGTGTGGACAGAGAGCTCTGATGTTATGCGATGCTATGCAGTAGTCCTGGTATGTCCCACTCAGGAGTTGCTGCTGAGTCAAGTGGGATACTTTGTTAAGTTGCAATACTGGTCCAGTCAGGTGTGTTTCAAACTGGTTAAAAAAATGTTCACATAGGTCCGACCCTACCCTACACCATTTTTTTTCATATTCACACCAAATGTAGGTATCACAGCCAATGCAACGATGAAAAAGCGCGGAGGGAGTGAGAGTTATCACCAAAACAAACAGCTACTTTCCTTAACAAAATGTAGTTCTTAAACAAACTGCATCTTGACAAGAGCTGTGTGCATACTTGAGCAGGATATGGGTGCATGACAGCCATCCGACCACACGCACAAAACCAACAAAATTAATAAGCCAACACATTACACACACACATACACATCACAGTGAACACATAGCCCCAGCATTACCAACATATAATGACTGTTTTCCCAAATTAACAGTACACAACAGCGGCAGCAGCAACCAGATTAATATTAGCAACTTGACATGGTAGATGTTATTAGATGTGAAAAACTTGCCATGTGATATTTTAAAGTTAAAAGTTGAAATAAAAATCCTGGAGTTTAAAAAAACATCTGATTTTCACTGCTGTTATGTATGCATGAGCACCAAACTTAAGATTTTTTTTTTTTGTCTTGTTTGTTTCATCAGGTTAGACCAATGTTATAATAAATCTGAAATAAGACATGTGGAATAAAGTGATTTTAATGAAATATCAGGTTATGTTTCCTGAAAGAAGCTTCTTCGCACATTATGTGTTCAGGAACTATCAAAAATTCAAAAATCCAATGATAATTTCTGTTTTTAAAGTTTGTGGCTGTTGTAAATGGTGTAATTTTGTAAAAAAAAAAAAAAAAAAAATTAATTAAAGTAAGTAATAAGTAAGTAATAAATAAATACATTTTAAAAATTAAAATAAATACAAATAATAAATAAAAAAACATGACAGTGTTGGGGCGTCGATGGGTTAGTGGATAGAGCAGGCGCCCCATGTACAAGGCTGTTGCTGCAGCGGTCCGGGTTTGATTCCAGCCTGTGGCCCTTTGCTGCATGTCACTCCCTCTCTCCCCACTTCTCACTCAGCTTTCCTATCAATTAGGCAAAGTTAGGGGCAAAAAATGCCCCCAAAAATATCTTTATAAAAAAATACAAAAAAAAAACATGACAGTGCTTAAAATGATTTGGCATGCCTCCCCTATTTTGCACCACTTCTTCCTTCTTGTAAATAAAAAACAACCCCTATGCACTCTGGAATTTGTGATTTTGGATAGCTTAAAGAGACAAGAGAGTCAAATTTTCCACCTGACTTGTTTTACCTTGAAACCTTTATTGTTCATGACAGTGTTGGCTGAACACTTCCTTCACAAATCATTATGTAATAAATGTCTATAGAGCCATAATGCCATGTTAGACTTTAGTGACCTTCTGCTTCCTAAAATGTCCCATAATCACACATTATGTTCTGATCAACCCACAGGAGAACTGCAAGAATGAAGAAATCCTCAACTCCCTGAAGTATGTCCGTCCTGGAAATGGCTTTGAGCCCAAGTTTCAGCTCCTGGAGAAAACTGAAGTGAACGGGAAAGATGCCCATCCCCTGTTTGTGTTCCTGAGGGACAAGCTCCCGTTTCCCAGCGATGACTCAAACGCCCTGATGACTGACCCTAAGTACATCATCTGGAGCCCCGTCTGCAGGAATGACGTGTCCTGGAACTTCGAGAAGTTCCTCATCGGGCCGGATGGCGTGCCTTTCAAGCGCTACAGCAGGAAGTTCCTCACCATCGACATTGAAGGAGACATCAAGAAGCTCCTCAGCCAGGCCAACTAATGACCCCGTCCTCCAGCATGTTGTTCACCCATCCTACAGCTTCTATTTGCACTAGCACAGTGTGTGTAACCTTCAGTTCATCACATTAAGGCTCACTGCTTTACCGTCCATAGCTTCTGTAGATGGTGTGTGAAACTTCTCCAGACCACCTGTGCTCTCTTGTATACGATGACTGTTGTTCTGTTCTTTTACTACATGAAGGCGTCCTCTGAAACCAAGCTAGTTGTGAGGGGGATATCTGATGACACGTAAAAGGCTGAATGTTTTCAGCTGCATTGTGTGCACGTAAAGCACAGATGTGTTTTGATGTATTTAGAGGACCAATAAATCTATTTTTTCAAACACTTCCTGACTGACTCTGTGACGTTATGCTAACAAGATTTTAGACGATTATAAAACACTAACATGACTTCTTGAGTCGTTAGTTGTAATGACAAAATTTTGATGAATTAAGAAGGTAAAGTTTTGTATTTTTCAACCTGGACCCTATTTTCCCTTGTATTTGTGTCCAAGTAAATACTGGCTAAAAAACATTTTTAAAACTGGTCTAGTTATTGAGACAAACAGGCTGCAATGTAACCACTAGGGCATGTTCTCGTTGCTAATTTCCGTCTACTAAAAGTGCTTGTTTTTTGCCACTGACAGGCTCAGGTTATCATTTTAAGTGTCTGACAACATTATGGAAAGGGCCATACAGAGAAAAACCTTTTTGTCAAAGAGTTAAATCCTTTTCATTTAACCAGAAACAGTGCCATAATCACCACTGCCAATTCGGCCAGACTCCATTTAAATAAACAGTAATTTTAGCATGTGTAGAGTCAGCATCTTTTCACATCTAACTGAGTGACTTAAGGGTTTATTTTAACAAAATCAGAGTTGGTAAATGTTGGAATGGTTTTAAGACGAACCAAGATGGGGTTTTTTGAGTTTTTTTTTTTTTCTCTCAGCTTTGAATCAAGTGTGTTTTGTGGTGATAAAATTACTGTTTATTTCAATGGAGTCCTGTCGCTTTGGCAGTAGTGATTTTGGAGTGGTTTCGGGTTAAACGAAAAGCATCTAACTCTAGGAAAAAAGGTCTGTCTCTGTAGGCATCCTTTCCATAAGCTGTCAGACACTTAGAGTAATAATCTGAGCCTGTCAGTGGCAAAACAAGCACTTAAACTGGCAGTGCGAACATGCCCAGAGTTCACAGTGCAGCCTGTTTTCACTGCTGCCTGCTGCAGCTCTCACCTCATGCTGGACCAGTTTTAAAAATTGTTGTTCCTATTAGTCACTTACACACAAAAACACATGGGAAAATTGGGACCAGATTTAAAAATATGTGTCCCATAGGACCCACATTACTTTTTTCTTACATGCAACAATCAAATGATAAAGTTGTGGTGGGTGAAATGATCCATCCAGCACTTAGTGGCTCCTGGATTTGCAGTAACAGTGTGATTTACTACAGATCATAGTGCATGTTGCAACTAGTCAGCATGACTGGCATGTTACTAAGGTTGCATCACCCGCAAATAAAGATAATTTTGCAATGCAGAATTATTTCACAACCACCGCTGAAGCCAGCTTTGTTAGAGTCACAGCCTTGACGTGGGCTTATTAAAGTGTATATATTCTGTGCATATAATTAGTCCAAACAAACCACCTTTTTGAGGCTTCCAGTCTTTATTGTACTTTGAATTCAAATATTTCTCAGTTTAAAAACAAATACTGTAGATAGCGGCAATAAGATAAATATGAGGACAAGAATTTGTACACCTATTTTCAATAGTGTGATTATTTACATCCCTTCAGTTATTTTTCGTGTTTAAATTGCTGTCGTGATTTAAGGGGGAAAACAAGATTCGCTGCGTCTGGCAGCTGGATTTTGTTTTCAACTAAGTATCTAGGATTACAGATATGATATAAAGCTTTTCTAGGCATATAGGCATAAATGATTATACTTAGGTAGTCACCTCTGAGCGACGTGATGGGCGGGACCGACCAGCAAAAAAGGGCACTTGGAGGCCCTTTATATCAACATGCTGTGATGCAACTAAGTGCAGAATTTCTGTCACAGAATAGGACTTATGGGTAGTACAAACTGCCGTCTGGTTACACTAGAAGACCCTTGTGACTGAGTATAAATATTTTATGCTCAGTCACAATCATACAAGACACCTGCTATATCTGTGCTTCCTGGGATTGTTGTGTGTCTACAGATCCCATTACGGTAAAAAAGGGATTCTTTGAGGATTTATCTACAGCTTTGCCTTTTTACTTAACAGCTGAGTGGTGTACTGTGATCATGGCAGAAAAACAAAGATGGGATTGCTGTTAAAGCACTGCTGTCCTGACCCCATCTGATGACACGTGTAGATTGTTCCTGATGACAAGGAGCGAGTTCAAGTTTCATGAATAAAAGCACCACTTTTATACTAGTTTATTTTGCTTCACTCAGTGTGCTTTGAAGATATCAAATAACATAGCCATTTCAATACAGAGCTGCATTAATGTACAAGACTAATAAGGACAAGCCATTGCAGGTGAGCTAGGGGTCCGATCAGGCAGCAATCAAAATATGCTTATAAGACACATTAAAATGATCTGGAAGTGTATGACAGCCCATAACCCTTATCGCTAAGGCCAAATCATACAATTCTGTTTTGTCTAGATACACCAGAAGCAGGTAGATAATGTACTCATGGAGAATTCAAAGTGCCCCCTTTTTAGTCAGGTTGCAGGAATCAAAAGGCCGCTTTTGCATTGTGATTACAAAAAAAAAGAAAAAGAAAGAAAAACAAAATGGTAGCAGGGTAAGACTCCTCTCATGAGTTTAGGGTCTGAGAGACAGCAGAGCCCGTTCTGTGCGTCATAGCACAAAAAAATGATGACTGAACAAGACTGCTTCAGCCACAACTCGTGTCACACCTCGAAACAAGACATCCCCTCTGTGGTTTAGTTTGCAAAGCAGACCCAGCACAAAAGCTGGGCTGCAGCAGCAAGACCCCCCCCCCCCCATCAGTGATCCACTCTACACAGGTGGAATAAGGTAACAGGATTCTTTCAACAAGCATGGCATGTATTGTTCTGTGTGCACATCACACTGTTAAAGTTTGCATTGACCTCAGCACAGCAAGATTATCAGAGATAAATCTAGGCACGACGCCAGTATCCTGCCAATGTCTCAACAGTTGGTACATGTCATTGTAAAAACCCTGGAACGCTTTGGTTGAAATAACATGTGCATTTGGCTTCTTTTTTTTTTATATTTCTGACTGACATTTGTTTATCTACACATTTGAGGGCACTTCTAACATTCTGTTCATCCAGTGAGAGGATCTTTATCCATTTATACTCCTCTTTAAGTTCCAGACTAGTAAACTATGTTCAGAAATCAGTAGGCCACCCGCTGTAGGGAGGAAGTCTCTCAGGTCACTCTTCTGACAAGGCCTTGGGCTCTAGTTGACAACATACGAGACAGAAATCAAATAAAATATGGGGAAGGTAGGGTTAATAATGTTAAGTCTGTGGAGTCCTCTGTCACTAAAGTAGCTTTGTGTGTGCGTCCAAGTGTCTCTATTTGCCGTATGTGTTTCAGTGCGTGTCCCTTTCGCACCAGGGGCTCCTCAGTTTGTGTCCATGTGGTCGTCGGCTGCTTCCGGGGCTCCTCCCAGTGAGGCCGAAGGCTGAGGTTTGGAGAGGGTTTCCTCGTCTCTGCGCTGATAGAACAGCACGTAGGCTGCTTTAGTCTGCGAGGGGCGACAAGGATAGGATTACACTACAGAAACAGAGACACTCGATACCGAGGACAGAAAGATAAGAAGGCTGAGGGTTTATGTTCATCAAACATCTCTCAATGATAAATCTCCATATACTGCATCTCTGGGAGTATTTGAGTACAGGACACCAGGAATTATTAAAGAGAGGGGTTCCAAAACTTTTGCACAATATTTGACTCCATTTCCATGACTTTATTTAAGCAGTGTAAAATGGGCAGGCCTACATAGCACTACAGCCATACATTATTGAACATGCACTTCGCAGGCATTTGTGAACAGCAAACTGCTCTCGGGAACTTAACTTGATCACACATTCTGGCCACCAAGACGCTGCATATGCCAATAGACCAGACCAGCACGTTCTTTGCAAAATGTCAAGACCATGCCCCTTTTTAGGAGATAGAAAACTGCAGATGCTGTGGATGTCAATGTAATTTGTTGCATGTTTGGATTATACTTTTGACAACTCTGCATTTATTTCTTGTTAAACAAATGTTTGTTTTATGGACTAGTCTAATCATTTTTCTGCAACCTAGCCTAAACCTGAGTGTATGTGAGGTTGATCACCGTAGTCCCCCTTCAGTCTTCCCCCATCCGAGTGGATCATTGACCCAACACACTGGTTACTGGGAGCTACATGTATAGCTGTCGGGATCACGATAATACCTGGTAATTTGATTAAATATATTTAATTGTATCACCAGGTATGGTTAGGGTAAGACTTAAACAACGTTTAAGTAGCTAACTGTTTGATCTATAGGCTGAGATTTAGTTGGAAGCGACAGTCTGATGATGTACTGTATGACTGGGAAATTGCTGCAGCAGCCTCCCACTCAAGCTAACGTTAGCTATCCATCAGAAGTAACAGTTACTGTCACCAGCATCATTTAATCCTTCAACACACTGACTGTAAATATTCACAAATCTTATGTGCCTCAGATTTCAGTGTGAAGACTTGGTTAACCTGTTTGCCACCAGCTTTTCAGTATTTCTGGTTCTCTCCTGATGTGACAGCCCGTTTCTTTTGCCCAAAAAGGGGCGCGGCCTTGTGATGACACAGTGCCAGTCTGGTCTATGTGTATCAGATGATAGCGGTGACACTTCAACAGTCATGCAGCGCAGCACTAGATTCCAAGTTAGTAATACAAATAACATATTTCACGAAACATTAAGACATGTGCGATTTCTATGAGCATATTTTCAATGATAGCCTGAACAAGGTATATTCAAAATTTAAAAAAATAATTAAAAAAAAAAACATTCTGTTAATTCTTATCAATTTCCTGACCTGGAAAACAGTTTTTCAAATTCTGTAGGTTTGCCAGGAATTTTATGGTCATGGGAACCGCATAAAGAGTCAAAACTCACCACAATCTGGTCCTCTGAGGCAGAGGAGACACTGCTGTCATCAAAGTAATACCACTTTCCATCCACTTTATTCTTGCCATAAGCTGTGTCTGTTAAGAAGGAAAGAAGGTTTAAACAAACAGCTTTTCACTTGATTTGTTTGTTCAGGAAGAGATGAAAATCTTATCACACTAGTTCACTGTAAACTTAACAAAGAGTCTACATAGAACAAAGAG